CGCCTTTCCGTGATGTCATTGACTACGAGGCGTACCTGGTGGGGACACACGAAAAGGGGGTATACGGGTAGAGAGGTGGGTGGACGAAGGAGGGGTGGGCGTTCTCAGGAACAAGAGAAGGGGTGGAACACAAGCACAGGGCTATTCTTAGCCGCTTCAAACACCGTTCTCGCACGGTTGTTGCGTAACAACGCGAGAGAGCACTCTTCGAGGAGGTGTTCGCGAAATGGCCACAGCTGCTGATGGGGTCGACGAAGAGAGATCTCGATACACCGTCTCCGACACGTCGAGCGAAACTGCTCGCACGAGACGCTGCTTTTTCCCCCGGGGGGAATTTTTCGCGGTGGAGAATATAGGCTGTTTGTTGGTCCCTGATGAATTTAGAGGTACGTGGGTCGATTTTGTCTCGGGGTTGAAGAAGATTATTTTCCAGGAAATTTCTTTCGATGCAGTAATGGCCGAGTGCGAGGTACAGCCTCTGATTTCAACGTGAAAACAACAGAGAGGTGGCGAAATAAAAAATTAAGAGCTGTAACGAGTGCAGCTCGAATAGACAAATAATCAAAGAAATCGACATGAAAATGACACGGTAGGTTGTACCAACAACGGCTGATCACCTCAACAACCTGGCCATAAATCTACTGGACACCGAGAAGAACGAGAAAGTCTAAAGAGATATCATTTTCTACACCACTGAGTGTATTTACTCTCCGGTCGATATAAGCTATCACAGTCAGTGATGATTATTATTGTACAATAAATTGCACACATACTATGGTGCTTTTGTAGGTTTGCTTTTTCAAATAATATCTATCGAATACATTTACATGAACGATAGTTACTACAGTAAGTAAAATAAAGTTAATGTAAATAGTTTAACGCGATATAAATTCGACAACGACTTCACTGCACACACAACTTTCGTACCTGCTCGTCACCCCATTTCGGTTTTAGTCTCGGGCTAAGCTGTTTATTACCCTTTGGCTCTTACGTCTGCTCAGACAGAGCCGAGAATTTCCGATACAACAACAGATTAACAAAAAAAAAAAGAAAATAAATACTACGGTCACTTCAACAAATCTCACACTACGAATAGAAATGCGAACGCAGGATAGTGAGAATCGTGGAAATTTCAAGAGATCAATCTGCCCTAACCCTACAGAGGCTATTACCGATCCTTTGACCCAATACCGACATAATTATCCCGTGCAGTCCATGCATCGAGTCATAGTTTCAAACTCCCTACTCCATCGATTAATTTTCCATGCTCTCGGGGAGTCTATCTTCAAGGCTGGTAAGCCAAGGCTCACGGTCATCGGGGCGAAACTTTACACTCACGCCAATGCGTACAATGTAGCGTGATAAAAGTGTGACATTTCAACCCCCGTTTTCCTTCGATCGCATTAATTTCCCCTACCGCATCAATGGAGAGGAGACAGTTGTGAGAAACGCGTGTGCAATTTCCTGGCACCGCGACCTATAACATTTCGCTCGTCATCCGTGGCAAGCTCGTACGCGACCCCATAAAACGGATACCCAATTTGCATAGAGCTGCGTGGCACACTAGCCGAAGAAATAACAAGAAAACGACCAATTGTATCATTCCCAACCCCTACCACAGTTTCTATTGCATTGTTAATCGTGATCGATATCGCCGTTCTTCGCACATTTCGCGGCGCATCTGTCACCCGCGAAACTTCTTGCCGTTCGATTGAACATTGCTGTAACCTACGATTATTGTACGATGAATGTTGATGTTTATATGATATATAAATTGCTGTATATATATATGAAGGTAAATTGCGAAGCTGAAGAAAATTCTATCGACAAAGAAACCCAACAGCAGTCAAAAAGTGAGGTCAACGTAACATAATTTCAAGAGTTTCACTTGCCTTTACCTTCTATCTATGTTATTCTACGAAGAAACTTCTACGTTTCTATTGTTTTAAAATAAAAAAAATTCTAACTTTATGCTCTCTGAGCTAAAAAATATTTTACAACATTTAACATCATTTCTGCAAGTCTCGTTCTTGCTCACCTGTCTGCTTGTTCCTCGGGCAACCGAAATGTGTGAAATAATCGAAGAAGGAGATCGAACATCATCGAGGTAAGAAGAGATGAACGTTTACTTTGTTCCATACTGGGTCGATACACCTCTCGTAAAGGGTTACCGGTGATTGACTACCTTTCATCCACCGGCGATCTCTCATCAGGCGAAATAAGGGCGAACCATGGGTCTTCCTTCCGTCAAAGTGGGAATCTTTGACGTGCATAACGTGCTCCGTCCAGATTCGCTAGAAACACGACGTGCTTGTAACAGGCCGGACCAGAGGTGGCTGCAGGTGGTCGGAGCAAGACTTTCATCTCTTCCACGCCCTATTCTCCCCGCTCTTTTACGCGCGAGAATTTCACACTTTTCCGTGGTAATCTCCTTCCGGGGGAAGGGATATTGGTGAAATTGTGCACACGTGCCGTGCAAAGACCACTCGAGATGTTTCGTTATATTTTTGGCTTGGTTGAAATGTAATTTTTGGTTCGATCAGATGTTCAAACTGTTGGTCTTGAGTAGATTCTAATTTTAACTCATGGGATATGCACAGTAGCGAAGATAGAGATGAAAAATATGTGTGAAGATACATATTTGGAGACTTTTTAGTAAATTGTAGTGTTTTAATTACACGAGGAAGCAAGGATATGATAATTTAGTGTAATCGGGGTATAGTAATGTTAAGATGAGCAGCACACGAAAGGCCGAGCCCTAAGTTTAGGAAGGACCGAACCGGTAGTACTCAGGTGGGCCAACAGGCTTCGAGCTATGACTATGATAAATTATACAGTAGTGACTATTGATCTCACCGCGCCTAAGGTCAGACACTACGGCAAAATCGAGTTCGAGCCAACCATCGGCCCGCGAATAAATTCAATTTTCCCGCTCTAAATAACGGAACGGTTCTTACAAGCCTTGGGAGAGCGCGAGCAGACCGATTTGTGTCCAGAAAATCACCATCTTCCCTGAAATATGCAAATGCCGGGCTATCGGCGTGCTGATAAAGTCGTCTCGGAAAATCACTCTAACAAGTCTTCCTCAAAAGGAGGAAGATCGGAGATCCTCTCGGTATCACGAAAATGGTAAATTTATTCTCGAGAAGCTTCCATAAAATTCTGTATCGAAAAGATATTGTTAATCTTCCAAAATTAAAGATTTCTAAATTCTTTAGAAACTAGAATTTTGTGCTAAAAGTACTCATTAAATGAGCGAATCCTCTTGAAATTTTAACTCTATTATTCTAGTTTTAAAAAAAGTAATCTGATTTGAAGTTCCAAGAGACAAATGTCCATAATTATTATTTAGGCCGCTGGAATCGTCGCGATCGATGTCAAGATCGATTTCCACGGGCGCACATTCGCAGAAACGGTAGACTGGAAGGAATCGTCGAAATGATAAACTTCACGGACGAAATGGGTTGTAAAGCTAGTGGTATAGCATTCGACGCAAAGATCGTTACGAAGTAAATCAGCAGTGGGAGGCGGTTAATAGTACTGACAGCAAGAAGTTTCCAAGATTGACGCAAACTTCTCTAAAGGGAAACTTTGCAGCTGCTCTACGCTTACTTAGAACACGCAAAAAACCTGCAGTGGTATTAATATTTCATTGCACTTCGGACACATTCATTGATAATGCGAATGTCAAACGTGGAAGCAACGAAAACCCACCTATTCCCACAACAACCTCCCTCCCATAAAACATGAATTCTCAAGTGAACAATTTCCAAAGTGGAAAATTCAGAAAAATAGTAGAGAAACAAGCTAGCGTTCGAATTAAACAGGTCAACTGTAGCGTGGAGTAGAATGAAATTACTCGTTGACAAATTTATAGGTTGCTTCCTGTTTTCGCGGATGTTTACAAGTTCCGCGGAACAATCGGCGGGACACGAGTGTATCGATTGCGATACACGTTCGACGAGGATCAAGAAGAGATGTCAGAGCAGTTCTCCCGAGAGAAGAAGACACTTGGCAAAAGTGGTGGATCGTTTCGCGTCTATTCTCGCGAATCCAAGAAACAATGTCCCCAGAAAGCTGAAAGGGTTTGCCAAGACGGGATTAGTCGACACACACCGCATCGGAATTCAGGATGTCCGGTTTCCGCGACGACACTTCTCCCCTCCCACCCTTCTTCGTTCCGAAATCGTTGCCAGTTTTGCACCTTAAACTGTTGGCCGGCACACCGGAAAAAGTCTATAACGATGTCCACGCTCGCGTTCCATTATTCATTTCGACGAAACGCGGGAGAAATTTTACACTCTGCCAACGATAATGCCACTGCCCTCTTAACAAACGAACACACACAGTTTCGTTCATTTTTGCTGTTCGCTGTGTGACGGACAGCTTGTGGATTTTCGTGTTACGGTGAAAATAGAAGCTGCCGGTAAGGAAATGATCGCGGTAGTGTCTACAGATGTCGAGGATAATCGGAAAGCGTATTTCGTTTTGCTGGGATGTTTATGACCGGGACTGTATCGTTTTTCTTCTCTCGTAACGGTCCTTAAAAATTTAATATTTTTTCTTTTTCCAAAGAGTTTCCCTGGACACCTGTGAATTCACCGAATGAATGGTCGCGCGGAGGATCGAGGAGAAAGCGACATTTCCAACGAAGTTAACCGAGATCCAACGAAGTTATCGAGACGACTTGTTCACTCTCTCGTAGCAACTCGATAAATTAAAATTCCTCCGGCAAATTAGCTAGATATATAGATTCGCGATGGTTTGAAACGAGGTCTCGAGGCGACTTCAAAGGATGTAAATCGCAAGGCTGTTCTGTCCTCTTTTGAGAAGCGGATAAAAATTGCAGTAAAATCGATGCGCAGGCCTGTGTTATAGATTTCCCTCTCTACTCCTGTCGAGTGAGCGAGTAGAGGAAAGACGTGGAAGGTGTAGTTGTATCGAGTTCCGAACGGGACGCGTTGGAAATTAGATGCGAAGAAAATTCTCCCGTTACTCACCGTCTTTCCTGTAGTAAAGGATCTCGAAATGCTTTTCGACGCCGGCGGCGAGGGCGTCGCGGAGGGCCGCGACCGCATGCGGCGACGTCATCGGCCCATGAAGGAACTCGCAGATCGCCGGTCTCTGCATCACTTCCGCCCTCGAGAAGCCCGTCAGCCGGCAGAAACCGTCCGAGCAATATATTATGTGACATAGTCCCTGTTGAGCGTTGGCCACTAAAAAACTTCGATCTGCAATCAGAAAATATTCACGATCAATCGAGCTACCGTCGATACCGCTTCTACTTCGCGATCGATCAATCCTTTGCACTCGAGTGGCGACAGAGAAGCGACATTATTGTTTACCGCTTGGTAAATAATCAATCGAGGCTCTCTTAAAGCTAACACTTTGCGGAACAATAGGTCTACGAGCCTCTGATAAATGTCCAAGCAGCGAGAAATTCTTGGAGGGAATCAATTTCTAACGAAATCTATCATAATTAAAATATATTTGTCAATATACATTGTATGTTACTCTTAAAAAAATTCGTCAATTTTTTAGCGAATACCAGATACCAATTTTCGAGTGCAAAGGGTTAAAGGGGTAGTCTAGCTGAAAAGTGTGAAAAAATCGACGTGTTTTTTCCGTTACTAGTCGGTTCAATTCGAGCATAACTATCGAAGAACAATAATATCGGAAATTCGTACGCTTTCGAATCACTTTGACAGGTGATAGGATTCTGTCCGGACCAGTTTTTCACCAGGGAAAACTTTCCCCGGGCTGATTCAAACCGTGACGGTTTCGAAAATTCGAAGATTCAACGTTGCTCGATGGAATGACGAATAACGCGAGATTTCTTTTATTTTCCCTCTCGCGACAGGAAAATTTGTTCGAAGTGGAGAAGATTCGGTGTAATTATAGCCGCGGAGATCGAGAATAACCGTGGAGGTTTTAATTCTGGAGAACGATGAGAGTACACGTGGCGTCGAACTGCGAATTTCTGTAACACGACGGATTCTCGGAAAGCCGCGCTTTTGTGTCGGAAATATCGAATATTTGTTAAACGGAGGAGGAGGGAGGGACAGGCATAGGACTCGAAAATAAATGCGAGATTGTGTGGGAATGTATAGGAAGGATGGGAGCGAGAGCTCGAGCCACGAGCGAATTTTCATCGGCTCATTAGAACGCGTGGTTGGCATGCCTTCTGACTATGTCCGAAATTAACTTTTCTTGTTAAGCACGCGGCGGAGATAGACAGGTTAACGGGAACGAACTATTCGGACTGTACAGGTATTTATATCTCGTTGATTCTTCTAAAAAATTAAGAGAGACACAGATGCGTGCACGCAGCGTGGAATATTGGGAAATTCGGGGAGATTCCGCTGAATTTATCGTGGACGAGTTAAATTCGAAATTTTTAAATATCTTACAGTTAATTTCGTTTTTTTTTTTTAATGTACCAATTAAACCTAACCGTTCAGTTTTGTCTGATAGAACGAGTGTGCGGGCGGAGATAAATGGAAAAATGAAACAGCTGTTGTTAAAGTCAGGCAACGGAGGAAATTGTGAAATAGTGAAATTGCGAGGCTTCACGTTCCCGTTGCGACCTTCGTCCTAAATCCGGCCTCAGTCTTAGAGTGCACACCATAAAATATTTTCGTACCAGACATTAAGCTTGTCTGCTATGGACGTCGCGAGGCTCGGTTAATTCGGCTCGTTTCTAAGCTGGCGACAGTTTTGGACACTTTTTTACCGTACGCCTCAAAGAGAGGCTCTTCGTCCTGTAAATTTGCACTGCTCAAGCTGCCTGCGTACACAGACACGCGTGTGTGTCGGTGTGTATGCTCACTTTGCCACTTTGGCCTCGAGTGTAATTTATTAAAAAGGGAACACGTGTAAAAATTTGTTTAATAATAACTTTCCGGCAGGATGATAGTTCGGAGAAAATTTCGAAATTTCTACCTATCAAGGGAAATTCAAATATTCGGCGAACCCTTCATTTTACACGAATATTTTACACGAATATCACGATTTCTCGTGGACAAAGTAGCCCTAAGCGGGTACACTTTATTCCCTAATTGTGTCGCATCCCTTATCTTCTCAGTGGTCCAACGTACATATGTGCCCACGTTATTCGAAGCAAACACACAGGGGACAGAGTGAATTCTACGCGGATCGTTAAAGAAGTGTTTTCAACCCTTGATTGTTCAACGAACCGAAGACTCGCGCGAGGAGATTGTTGTTACATGGAACGCCAGCACCTTTCAAGTTCACTTCTCCTAAAAATAAATATCGATTCTAATACCTCTCGTAAAACAACCAATACGAACATGCATGCAAATGACGTTAAAAAACACCGTCGTCAAAATTCTCGGCCAAAAGAAGAATGTTCCAAATTGCACACTGATCCTTGAGAAATCTAAGAAGAAACACCGAGACGCGAGTTTTTCCACTCGGATTTCAACTCTGGCCGATTCGCCTAAGAGCGTAACAATGGCCGAAATTCGCGTCGTCGATGGGTCTGCGCGGGCGAATTCGAAGGCGACGATTCTCAAGTGCGTCGCAAGAGTACCAGACGTCGTACCAGAATCCCAGAGAGAAATGTCAGCCTCGGGAACGTCGAATTACACCGCGTGCCACGGCTACCATCGGTGCACCCTCGCAGTCGATGGCTAAACATTCTGCGAGGGACAATCGCGTTTAATGAAGGGAAATTGAAAATGCTGCGGAACGATCGTCCTGCGCCATTGTTGATCGACGGGCCAGGAACGTGACGGATGAAATTATCGCGAATATTACGTGACTATTGGCAGGAGCGTTTAAACCGATGAAATCATCGATTACGATGCAACGTGGCGTGTATACGAATACGAATCCTTTTGATACGCGTGTCAGCTGGCGGAACTTTCCTGGGCCCGTGGATTATGGACATGACAAAGTGCTGATCTTTGATCGTTCTCCGAAACAGCTTGATTCGGAGCTTAGAAATTTTTTACCTGCAAAAGAAAATTTAATTTGAAGGTTCGGTTAATCCGATGTCATTTTTCATCTCGAAACAATTAGTTTATGTTTGAATTAACCCTTTCGCTACGGCAAATTTCACTGCGTAACGTGGATGACTGACGGTAAATTTTTAATCGCGGCTGCAATTTGTTCTTTTGGCCATATCCTTTTAAAATTTGATTCACTGAACTAAGGTGGAAGTGCGTGAAGGATAAAATTAACAGTATAGGGAGAGTCAATTTTCAAAAGGCCTACAGGCGCCAATAGTAACGAAAGGGTTAAGTAGCTCGAGTAAATAACGAGAGGTTGGCTACTTCGTGTGATTTTGAAAAATGGTAAATTCGACAATCATCGAACGTTAAAAGTTACGGTAGTTAATCGTTATTGGCGATTTTCCATCGCAGTAACCGACTAACCGTGTTAAGTCGAAACTAATTAGGTGAAAAGTTTCACGTGTACTCGGTCGTTTAATCAACGGTAATTTAAAACGCCGACAACACGTGGTCGTAAAACATGCGTACAATTTTTCTACCCCACCAGACGGAGAATAACCTTGCATTCTGCAACGCGATGGCAAGATTAAAGCCCCACTTTCGTGTAGCTAAAGAAATAATTTAATCTACTCCGGCTAACTCATAAATTCCTGAGACTCATTTTCATTTTCTCACGCCGCCCCTTTGTCTCTACGTTTTTCAGATATTAAATTTTCCAACAGGCTGGTTCGGTTAAAGCACTCGCAATTGCGGAAAACGAGGATCGTAAGAAGCATATGAAAAGCGCGGTGAAAAAGGAGGCCACGCGCTTCTTCCGCTAATTAACCATGTAAAGGGAATGTACCGGCGATACCTGTGCCGGCAAATATTTTTATGTTCGATCTCGACGGATATTTCTCCGATTTCAATTTCTCGCCGGAGGAGAGAATTTTACTTGTGCAAATTGAGATACAGATGAAAAAGAAGAGCGGGTGGTTTATGAAAACGCTCGAAGGAGGAGTTATCGGTACATCTGTCTTGATCCTATGGGAAGAGAAGGACAAAGTTGTTCGGTTTGGGAATACTGATTGATCGATAGTAATTACGAAGTAATTCTAAGCGATGTTGGAAGTGGCAGCTTCGCGTTCAGTGGTTTAACCGTGATTAATACTCCTTTTCACTATTGCAGCGTAGCGAGAATAGCAACAAAGCGTCGTTTCCCTTCGTACTCTGGAGATTGATCGTTGCCAGTTTTTGGAGCTTACCGAATCAACGCAAAAATCAATCATTGACGATCGTCGAAGAGGAAATTCAGTTTTTTGCGCACTGTGTCGTGTAAATGCTGTGACATGACACTCGGGATTTAAATATGATAATTCTTAGTCCAGTAGTCTGCGTGGTGATAAATTGGCGATGGAGATTTCAGACTTCGAAGATTGGGAATTGCGAAATTTTTAAATTTTCACATGTTTCAACCTTCGAATTCTTAAATTTTCAAATGTTCCAATATCCAAATATTCAAATTCTCAAACTTTCAAGTATTCCAATTTTCAAATTAAAAAATTTTCAAATATTCCAATGCTCAAATTCTAAATCCTCGAAACCTGGAAATTTCAGGTATTCCGATCCTCAAATTCTAAATCCTTGGAAATCTGGAAATTTCCGACTTCCCAGATGCAACAATTTCCCAGCTAAAGAGGACAATCTGACGGTATATTTTTCCCTAATATACCAGAAAACATCAACGAGAATTGAAGAGCGTTCACAAAGTGCCATTTTGCCGGCAATTTCCCTCACATTCCCGAGACCCTCGAAATCTCATTTTCCCTCGGTCGACCCTTCTATTCAGGAGAGGCCGCTGCTGTGTCCAGAAATTTCTCACAGTGTGATCAAAGGAATTTCCAGTGAATAGCGTAACTTAAAAAGGCTAATCCCAACCATGCCACGGTTACCAGGCACAGAGAACCGCGTGAAACAAATAGGGAGCACGAGTCGACGATTCTGAAGCTAGACGCAGGGTCTCTTTTTACGTATCTCATCCCGCGCCGAGTTTATCGGCCGAACTAGAAATAGATTTCGCCGAGTTAGCATCGGAGACAGGCTCGCAGGGCTGGGCCCTTTGCCAAGGATGTCACTTAACCGCGAGAACTACTTTGCTATCCGTACTGTGTTCCAGAATACTGACCGCCTCGGCTCTTATCTTTTCGACTCGCTAAACTGACCCATGCTCCCTAATTTCTCGAATTCCAACAAGCAAAACGAGCAAAATTTCTCTT